GAGTATTCCAAAAAAATGACAGACAAATTAGAATAAACTTACAAATTAGCAACAGAAAGATTAGAGTATGTAGGAATATGGTATGTGCTTGTAAAGTGTATTAATGTCTGAAGCAGGGAAAGTTAGGTATTGGTTAGACATTGAAGAAGACTTGAATTGTTCATAGTTCTTTGAACATGATAACATAAAATAATACCAATGCTCAGAAAATTTGATATTCACTGACATAACCAATATCCCATCAAAATTATCTGCTGCATAATGGTTCCAAATTAATATAATAAAGAGATTCATTTCCATGGATTTATTCATGTGTTGGTTTCTTTTCTTGTTGCTGTGATAAAAATACCTGAAAAAAAGCTGTTCCAGGAAGGGTTTGGGGTGGGGGCTCATAATTTGAGAAGGGGTACAGTCTATCATAGCATGAAAAGTCTAATGGTGAAAGCAGCTGGAATTATGGCACAGGAGCATTGGGGCAAGCTGGTCACATTACATCTGAAGTCAGAGAGCAGAGAGAGGAATGCTGGTGCTAAACTCACTTTCTCCGTTCGTACCCCTTCATATACAGTCCGGGTTCTAAGTCCAAGGAATGGTCCCCAACAACATCCAGGGTGGGTCTCCCCTCCAGTGATGGTTAATCCTTATTCCCAACTCTATTGGATTTTGAAGCATCACAGAAATACCTGTTGCTGTGTCTGTGAAGGACTTTCTAAATTAGAATAATTGATGTGGAAGACCCATCCTAAATGTGAACAGCACAATGCTATGGACTGAAGCCCTGAACTGCATATAAAGGTGATATTTATCTGAGCATGAGTATTTGTTGTTTTCTACTTCTTAACTGCAGATACCAGGTCACCAGCTGCCTCTGTGGTGGAATGCATCCTGTAAACTGTAAGCCCAAACAAACCCTCCCTCCTCTGAGTTAATTCTCCTCAGGTATTTGATGACAGGAAGACAAAAGTTACACCAACTCAGTTAGACTTCTCTAGAACATCCTCACAAACATACCCCAAACTGGGTCACTTCAGTAATTTTTAAGTCCACTCAAGATGATAATGAAGTCTAATCATCAAATGCCATTTGTTTGGTTATAAACGGCATGCTAGTTTCCATATTTCCTATTCATCACAGAAGTGGTTTCTCTGAAAGTATAAATTATTCCTACTTGATGAGAACCACACATGGTATTAACTTCACTTGATTTGCCTGTTTTGACTGGTAATATGTATATTAGTTAGTGACTAAGGCAGAGCCAATATAGGAAAAAGAATCCATCAAGATGTTGACTTTCATATAGATGCAGCTCAAGAGGGAAATGGAAAGGTATTTCTATGTGGAAGACAGAAGTCTAAAGAGTATTCAGCTAACAGAGAGATGATAGTGAATTACAAATTAGATATAAAAATCTCATATTATGACTCCCTGTGTAAAGCACACTCAAAAACATGAGTGATTCATCAGGCTACACTTCCAATTGTATCTAACATTATGCTTTGTAAAAACAGGGACAAATAATGGTAGTTATTAAAGATTAGAACAATAATTATATAAAAAATCATTGCCAACATATATTATACTAAGTGTTAATATACAAATTCTCATTTGATTGTCATTATCACAGTGCTGAAAGCTAGACACCAACATTAGAAAAGGGTCACTTGTCAGAGGAACTGACATATCACAGATCAGTGGAAATCATTGACCACGGTCTGTATCATCTTCAGGAACTTGCTGACCATGAATGTTACATAGAGAAACTAAATGTGAGATCACCCTTAGCCCCTCAACCTTTCTGTCTCCACATTTCATATTTTTAAAAACCCATTAAGTCTAGTTAGGACTGTTCAGACATTCATGAGTATCAGGAAGCCTATCGGTGGCCACATGCTCAAAAAAGCCTCATTTTCTCTCCTGCATCAACCACCAATTATCAGTAGCTTCATAGAAAGGGCCAGGGCACAGAGATTGTCTGCTCCATCTATGCTAGCTCTGTGGTTGGTTTGATACTGTGCATGTCTTAGGCAGTAATCAAAGCTGTTGTGAGTTTATGATTCCAGTGACCAGCTCTTACATCCTTCCCACTTCTTTTGACCCTAACCCTGAATAAGGAGTTCCCAGAGCCTCAATGAGAAGGGAGGGCTGCTATAGATGTCTTGTTTTTTGTTAACCTCTGGTTCTCTTATTCTTAGCACTATGACCAGTTATACGATTCTCTATTGATGGTTGCCCACTCCAAAAAGAGTTCTGGCTAGGACTGGAAGAGGCCCAAGTCTAGAGGTATATTTTCTTATTTTATCTAGAACATCTTTGATATTCTTGAAAATGTTTATATACTATTTTCTTACTTTAAAAGTCTGCCCATTTTGTATAAATATAATCCTTTCAAACTCAAGTTTTCCTTTAAGAACATAATAATTAATTCTAAAGAATGAGTAGACTCAGGGAAACAGCAGCATAAATATTGACACAAACAACATGTAATTTGGCCAAATGCCTAATATTCTTTCTTAAGGTGAGCATGGAGGTGTCAAACAAGAAAACTTAATGAAGCAAAACACAGAAAGAAGATAGCTCTATGAGAGTGGGCAATTACTTAACATAGTAAAGGAGCTATTACTAGAACAGAGAGGAGAAAATATGAGAAATGATAAAGTGTTACTAATTATTCCAATTCTGAGAAGGGGTGTAAACAACTGAAAATGACTTGATATTCATTGCTAGCATGACAATTGCTAAAATGCATTTTAATAGTCTAAAAATCTACTAAATAAGCATGAATGCCTACGAATAAAACTATCTTTAAAAATCCGTGCATTTGATTCAATTTGTACAATTATAAATATAATTTACAAAGAAAGGAGTCCAACTATGGCAAACCTTCTAAACTAGCAAAGGTTTGAAATCATGCAGTTGCTGCTCACACCTAGAATGGCGAAGCTCAGAGGGACAAAGCACTGAGCATGCTTGTATTGAGAGAAGACCTATAAAATAGTTGCTGGTGTTCCCCATTTTGACCTTAAGGATGGCAAGGCTTTCACCCAGAGATAGACAGTGGGCTGGGGATGTGGCACCATAGTAGAATGTTTGCCTGATATTTGTAATGCCCTGCATTCAACCCTTTGGCACTGAAAGAAAAAGATAGATAGCTGATCTAGATCCCATCAAGAATACAAACCAGGTACCACATCATGGCTCAGCTCTTAGCCACTGTACTATATTGCTTTCTTCAAACAATTAGCACAAGCAATTCCATTTCATTGCCTTAGCAATCTCAGATTAGAAGTTAAAAGTGAACAAACACAGATACATATTATCCTTTAAATACAAGCTATTCTTTACATATTATACTTTAATTAACAGAGAAAATGGAGATTTTTGAGGGTTGAGACCAGTGTGAGACGAGTCTGCTGAGGAAATGGTTCATAATTAGGAATAAATAGTTTTTCTTTGCTTCCATTTCCCTATACTGCCTTCTCTTGTGTAGACCTATTAAACACTTTCTTGATCTCTTTTATAGTCTAAACTAAAGATTATTTTATAAAATTCTTGCAAAAAAATCTACTTTCTGCAACTGTTCATGATACAGCAATCTTCTTTGTTATTTTTTTCCTAGTTTGAGTGATTTTTCCAAATGATTTAAGCTGTGTTTTTTAATAATATTAGATATAGCCATTAAATAAACTAGCAATTGCTAAATTTTACCATATTTTAAGTTTTATATAGGCAAGAGCATAGAGCACACTTCTTCTCAGCAAAACAAAAGGCCGGCCTGATACCACAAGCTCTGGGATGAGGTTTGTATATGTGAGACTGCCATGATAACAGCGCTGTGCTTCATAGAGCCATCGTGAAAAAGAAAGGAGAAGGTGTGCCTAAAGGCATTCAGCAAAAGGTCAGTAATGTCTCCTTGCTAGGAGATGACTGAAGAATGGTGTAACAAAGACTTCTAACTTCTTTGGGCTCAGAGGCTCTGTGGTTAGGAGAGAGAGTGTGCCATGGTGAGCACAGATCAGTGCATGGTAAATATTCACCCTTGAAAAACACACAAATATTCTAATGTTCCAATTCCACTGGCAGAGCTACTTCACAGGATAATTACATGACTTGTGGGTAGTACTTAAGTGAATTATAGGATGCCTATCCCATGTTCTCAAAGAGCTAATGGGTTCCCTTAACTCTAAGTCCACCCTGAAATCTCCTGGTGTGTCCTATAATTCCAAAGCAAATGAGACCACAAGAGGGACAAAACTATATTTTGTTCCCTGGTGACACACAAGGATTAGTCATCCTTCGTGAAATAGCACCTGGAATTAAAACTGTGTAGAGGCCTTCTGAAACTGCAAGGAGAAGCGCTGTTGACTGGAAGATAACTCAATCTACATCATCTTCCCCAAATAGATGACTCAAAGGAGCCAGGCTGTCACTGATATTGTATGAAGTAGGATTGGAATGAATTTTAGTGGGACCATAGGTCTCAGTGTGTGGAGACCAAGGCCTGTCACCTAGCTTAGCTTCTGCCCCAGGAGATTCCACTCTGATTGTTCCTTAACTGATTAAATGTTTTTTTAAATATTTTGTCTCTGTCTCTCTCACTATATTTGTGTATACATACACACACACACACACACACACACACACACACACATACACCAGTATTATATATATATAATACTGGGGGTTGAATATAGGTCTTCATACATGCCATTGATACATTACCAGTCCTTTTTTATCAACCTTTAAAATAATGTATTAGCATATATTCATTGTGCATTAACTGTATCTCATAAGGATATTTCAGAATAGTATCTAATATTCTCTAATTATGTCCCTCCAAACACCATACCTTCCCCCATTTTATCCCCTCTCCCATATCATTAGACTTGAATTGCTCAATGTGATTCTCTCCAGTTGTGTCCATTTTCCTGCAAGTGGTATAAGTTCATTGCTGTTTATGGGTGGATGAAATTCCACTGTGCCATGTATTGTATTTTCTTTACCTCTTCAACTGTTGATGACACCTGGGTGGGTTCCATCACTCAGCCATTGTGAAGAGTGCAACAACAAGCATCTGTATGCAAGTACGTTTGCAATGCGATTCTTCTTTTTGCTGGTCCTAGACAGAATCTTACTTCAACTTTTTATGTGGGTGCTGGAGTTTTGAACTCATTTTCTCATGCTTGAAAATCCACTGAGTCATCCTCTCTCCCTAACGTGGGTTTGGATGTGACATACAATCACTCTAAAGAGTGAAGAGGAGTTTGTTCTTTTCCTACAGAGCTTTTAACTGTATTTTAATCTGAGGTTATAAGGTGCCTATTGCACCTCTCTGAAAGGAAGGACAATTCTTTTCAGGTGTTCTTACCTTCATTAACACTTTAAACTTTAAATAATTAACACCTTGTCTGGAATTATATTTATGTAGGAAGAATAAAATCATATCTTATAAAGTCCAAATATATGGAAATTTCAAAGTGTTGGCATTATCTTCTGGTGAGCATCTGTTTTTCCTAATAAAAACATAAAAATAATTTCCTATAAGCCATGTGTGCATGGCCACCATCCATTTAAAACTTACCTTTTAAATTAAATGTGAGTTCGTTCATCACAATGTCTTTTGTCTAGTCTCTTCTTTCCATGGTGCCTGATAGACAGCTGTCACTCACTGAGGATTTCAAGAGACTAGTGATGAATAAATTAATTGAACATTTACAATAGCACTCTAAAATACTATGAAATGGGTTCCATCTCAGTTAATGAGTTGGAGAAAGCATCATAAAAATTAATATTTAGAGTAGAAATTTCCCCCAACTTACTCTATTTGCCAGTTAATTCATAAGTGCAGTGAAGTTCTAAGCAAGCCATAGCAATGTTTTTCTCGCTATTGTTAGTGGACTTTGGGGAGTTATGTCATTTTCAGAGAGCTCATTATTTTGACTTTCAACTGAGCACTTTAGAATTTCTCAGACTCAGCCAAACTCTACTGTTACAATAAATCTTTCCACCAAAAGCCGCCTGAGCCCCACCGCCACGTGTGAGCTTTACGTCAGCTGCCTGCCCGAGTTAGGCCCTAATGAATACACAGAAATACACAGAAACTTGTATTAAGTTTAAAGCTGATGTGCCAATGACTAGGACTTCTCATCTGCTAGCTCAGTCTTAATTATCATAAATCTATATATTTTATAAGACTGATCTTATGGGACGCCTTATTGGGGGCCCTCCTTGCCGGTGGATCACATTGTGCCGCTGGAGCAGGAGCAGAGGGGAAAAGAGGCATATTTCCTGTTTCCTCGCTTAGATATAAGTCTCCTTGCCATGTCACTTCCTGCCTGGATCATCACTTCTCTACTACATTTCCCAGAATCCTCTTTGACTCCTAGTCCTTGCTTGCCATTGGCCAAACAGTATTTTATTCAACAATCAATAAGATAAACATACAAAGAAGTACATTCCCCATCACTCTACAATGTAATGGTGTCTAGGTTTGTTTAGAGTTCCTGCTCCTTTTCAGATTGTTTTCATAAGGAGTATTTTTAACAACAACAAAACCCTATGGTTCTTCTAAATACCATTGCTTTACCTTCCATTTAACACATGATTTTTGTGTTAAAAAAATAACTTTTTTGTGTTAACTTTTTTTGTGTTAACAAAAATAACTTTTTGTTAAAAGTGAGTTATCAAGGAAATAGCAAGTGATTCAAAAAAAAAAAAAAAACATACGTAACAGATATCTCAGCATAGGAAGACTTCCTTAAATCCCTTTTCCTTCTTCTTGTAATCATTACTATTTAAGATTATAAGTGGGCATAATAGTCCATTCTTCCTAAGACAGTTGAGAAAAAAAATAAGGCTGTGACCTCAGAAGTGGGTAATAGTGCAGAAATAAACTCAAGAAACGGGACTTAAGAATGGAATTTGGGGGATTGGGTTGAAGGTATACACAAAATATTGGTGGGAAATATTATAGTAGAAAAGAAATTTTATTTTTCTTCTTTTGTTAACTTCTATAAAACATAAGACAAAATGAAAACAAAACAAAAAGTCAGATTTTATTAAATAGATTAATATTTTAAATATTTTATGACAGGCTAATTCTAATGGAGTTGTTAATATCTTGAGTAGCGAAAGAAAAATATTGAGTGTCCCTGCCAACCTCATTTCTCCATTATTTTGAGATAATCCATGTAATCACTTTTCTTCCCCAGGTCCTGAGTCTATTACTGCTCACACTCTTTGATTTCACTAATTCTACCTGTTTTGTATTATTGAGATAGGATTTTACAATGTAGCCCAAGATGGCTAGAAGTTACTGTGTAGCTGAGGTGGTTTGAATAGAATGGCCTTCATAGATTCATATGTCAGAAAATTTGGTCCCAAGTTGATGAAACTGTTTGGAAAGGATTAGGAGATATATAACTGGGGGAGGACTTTGAGGTTTCAAAAGACTCCCTTCCCATTGTGCCTCTCTGTACTTCTTGCTTGTGGATCAAGATGTAAGCTCTCAGATGCTGTTCCACTCACCTATTGCCATGCCTTTACTCTACAATCACAAACACTAACTCAGTCGAACCATAAACCTCATTAAACTTTCTTTTAAGTTGCCATGATGAAGATGTATTACCACAGTAAACAAAAAGAGCTAATACAGTAGTCCAGGCTGCCTTAAGTTACCCAATATTCCTTCTCTATCCTCCTGAGTTCTGGGAATACAAGAGTATAATCCATACCTAGTTCATTCTACCTCTTTACATACCTTTATGTAGTTAATATCTCTCAATCTTGCAGTGCAGGCAATGGAATTCAGGACCTCACAAATATTCAGGAAGTATTCTACCACTAAACTAAACTACATTATTTGCCTCTATTTTTTAAATTCTTTTGAGATGTATTTTCACATTCAAATACCTTAAGAAACACCATAGATTCTTGCTTCACACTGCAGCCATTCCTCACATTTGTTCAGTGCTTAGATAATCAGAGTCTTGCTATTTCTAGAAACCATGCATTGTTTCATTGATATGTTGTTATTTTAACATGTTTAATTTTGTGTATGTGTGCTAATTTTGCATGGGTCATAAAAATCAGACCTGTACCTATAGAGTTAGTTGTACATAGAAAAATCAATATGCAAATTAGGCATTTTACTTGTGAAAATATTTAACTGAGTGCAGTGTTGCTTTAAAAGTTTTCTTCTAGGAATCTGAGAACTTCCTTGAGTTCAGAATTCTATATTGAGGTCAGTTCTGTCTGCAAATCATTCCCTCTTTTCCTCTAACTTTCACTTATGTTTTTCAGTCCAGGAAAGATCCTAATGTGATTCTGTTGTTTCTAATACACTGTGGTTGGTTGGTTTTGTCTTTTTTTTTTTTCTGAACATAAAATAAAATGCAACCTTTGGAAGGCTATTCATCTGTCTCCAGAAAAGGTCATGGGAAGAATGCCATAGAATTTTCTAATGGTTCATCCATCAAAAATGCAGCTCTCCATTGATTCTTCCTGAATTGTCAATTTCCAAACAGCCTCGGGGATAAGCCTTATTCTTTGAGAAGAAACTCTTGATAAGGAAAGGGATGAAGTGATAAATGATTTTTTTTTTTTGGTGTTTTCCTTTGGGAATGATACCTTGCTCTAAGACTCCAGCGATAGCCTTCCATGAACTACCTTCGTAAAAGACTTCGTGAGAATAACAATAATGTAAAGCTGCCAATAGCAGTTTAAGCAAAAAGTCACTACCTAAATGTTAAAGTCACATTAGTATTTTGCCAAGAAGGAGACTAATAGGCTCACTTAAAACATATGATTAAACACAGTAGCATACATTGATTGAATATATAGTTTAAAGAGATTAAAAATACCATATGAAAATAAAGCTTCCATCTGGGTCCATGAGGAAATAAACTGATATTTTTATTAGAAAACATAGGTTGAATCACAACCAGTACTAAAAGGCATCAGATTCAGTTTTCAAACACTACAAAAAATATTATTTTGCATGCAGTGCTGTAGAACATTCTTTGCTTATTAAGTCAGTCAAGGTATGATGTAGTAGCTATTGTTGTTTTTACCATGTTCACTATCAGCATGGAAAGGAATGTTCACATTGCTCAGTGTCTGTTCAAGGTTAGTAGTTCCATGTTCAAAATCTAATTATTTATCACTGTCCTTGATGACTGTGGGTAAAGCAAAACGTCAGTTTGTATTTCACACAGGTACCAAATCCTGAGCAAATCCTGTATAGAAGGATCTTTATGTGACACAAACAATAAACAAGGATTCAGGATGAAAGACATACAGCAAGTTCTGCAAGTGGGAACCAGGAAGTAGTACTAGTTTGACTCCCATAAAAGCCCTAGATCTAGACGTAGTCAGAAGATGATGATGGAATTGGGAGCTGTAGACCACATTTCAGGAGCAAGTGGGACAGTTTACTGTGTATGCACATCACATGCATGCATAAAGGACACCTGTGTATGCACACATACCCAATACATACATGTTCAATGTGCAGCACACCAATAGACATGCATGCAAGTACATACAAATACAAATATAACACAGCAAGAAATATATCTATGTACACACACAAGCCTGTAACATATATACACATGAACATAGTAATGTACATGTGCATGAATACATATGTACAATGTAGTGTATGAATATGTTTCAGTCATACATATGTATAATATAACATGCAGATGAGCACACACAATTTATATGGGCAATATGTACAGCTTACCCACATGTGTGTATACATGTACATAGGATGTATTTTTACACAATATACATGCATTACTTGTGAACATGCATGACAGATACACAGACATGTGCACACGTATAAGAGAGAGCAGAGGTGGATTTTTTATATTTGAGATATAAAAATAAATGGTTAGAGGAGACTGATTGAGAAGAAAATTGTCATCAGATTAGTTATTATTGAATTTCAAGAATGGGAAATGAGAAGAGCTGTTTTTGTCTATTGTGATTTATTGTGTTATTCCTAAAAAAAAAAAAAGTGACATTAAATAATTAACACAACAGTGCTAGTGATGTTTGATCCTCCTAGCTGAGGAAGAGAGTGCTAGAGATCTGACAGTTTTCTAAAAAGAAGAAGAAGAAGAAGAAGAAGAAGAAGGAAGAAGAAGAAGAAGAAGAAGAAGAAGAAGAAGGAGAAGAAGGAGGAGGAGGAGGAGGAGGAGGAGGAGGTTTGGAAAATACCAAAGATAATTCCTTGCTAGGCAGGAATGTTACCACCAATTTGAGTCAGTTTAATTTTTTTGTTATATTAGGATCTTAAAATTTCAAACTTGAAGAGGAATTGTCTTCTGATATCTTTAAGGCAGTAGTGGCATGAATTTTCTAGAAGTAACCAGAATGGATTTGAGGTCTGCTCCTTGGGACAGAATATAAGCCCAGTGCCATAGAACTGCTCAAAAACCTGTGGCTGTGGGTAGGGGGTTGCAATCCTTATGGGGAAATCTACCCTGATGCTTTCAAAGGATACATGTTTTTATCTCTCTACTATAACAGCTCTCAGCCTAAACAAGCCAGAGAAACCTCTTTTGACATGAGGTGATAGCCAAAGATAGTAAGTAAGTGATCGTAGAGCTGAGTTGGCAGGATTGGGAAACCAATGGGTGCATGGTGGCGGTGAATGTATTCACAGTCACTGAATAGAAATATGATGTTTCCAATTTTTCAGTATTTATTTTAATAAATGAAGAATAGCATCCTTCAGCTCCTGCAAACTGCTTCCAAATGGTGCACAATACTTCGAAGACTCGACTCTCTATGATGCCCACTCTTCTCACAAGTCTTGTTTTCCATTACAGTTATTACCATGCTTTAAAGATTAATAAGATTGCTTTAAATTTCCCTTTCCTATCTATAGCTCTATGTTATTTATAGACACATTTGATCAACTCATTCTCTCCTAATACACTTGGTGTTTTTCTTAAGCTTTTCACGCCTAGGGGGATTTGATTAGAAGCAAGATATTGTTAATTTCCATTATCAAGAGTTGGTTTTCATGATGCATCTTTAAAGAACATTATTCTTTGTCACAGCATGTGGTTCAGTTGCTGAAGA